CAGGAATGGATTTCAAACTCAGTAGTAAACATTTAACACATAAACCAGTAGATTAGATTAAAATGTACCTTTAGCTTTAAAATAATGCAAAATAGCAAATGTTTCTATATTTGGTTTACTGAGAAGAAATAAAAGAAGAGGCTTCAATTAAATTATGATTGAGGGGTTGATATTTCTCAGTGTTTTATTACTGCTTTGCAACAGTAAAGTTACTCAGTATACCTTTCTTTTATTCCTGCAATGTGTCTGTGGCATAATACTGAATATGCCAATAGACACTAGCAGATAAAACAAAACAAAAAAGAATAATGTGAAGTAGATAGCACAGCATGTAGTACTTAAAAGGATTAAGTCAAGGTCAGTCAACAAATTATCCTCACAGTAAATTCCATGAGGGCAAGCTAATATTTACTTTGTTTAACACAATATTCTCTGGAAACAGTACAGTACCTGGCACAAAGTAGCTATTGGGTAATATTTGCAAGATGAATAATTTACAGGCACAAAAACATTAGATTCAGTTTCTTTTGATGTTAGAAGAGATGAAGGCTGAACCCTCTTAAGTAAATCACGATGATGATAATCCCCAAAATGTGCAATAGCAAATCTAACACTAATTACATACCAACAGGTCTGGAAACCAGTGTTACAATATAAATTATTTTAATCTAAATATAATCTTTTTGTGTTCCAAAATTCCCTGAAGCCAGGGACTGTGTCTTATTCACTTCTTTATCTTTAGCACTTCACAGCACTCCTGGCCCATAAGACACTCCAGCACTAGTTAAACAGATGAATAAATGCAATAAGGAATATCTTGCAGTGAATTTTGGTGAATCAACCTCATTAATTTAAATAATTCCAAGACGAAGAGCTAACACTGAAGTATTTCCAGTAACTATATGACTAATTTACAATTCCAATTTTGACAGTATTCATACAGTTAGGGGTGAAGGATCTGAGCACCAGGCATCTAAAACTGATCCCTATATTCTAATACACAAAACTCTAATGCCTGTAGAGTTCACCCAAATTGAAGCCAGGAGTAAAACTGCTCCTGGATATTGTTCCCGGAGTACAAGGGGTTCAGAGTGTGACACTTAAGAGTAAAAAAGCCCTTGGGTAAGTGACTTCCCCGGTGGCACAATGGTTAAGAATACGCTTGCCGGGGCTTCCCTGGTGGCGCAGTGGTTGAGAGTCTGCCTGCCGATGCAGGGAACACAGGTTCGAGCCCTGGTTTGGGAGGATCCCACATGCCGCGGAGCAACTAGGCCCGTGAGCCACAACTACTGAGCCTGTGCATCTGGAACCTGTGCTCCGCAACGAGAGGCCACAACAGTGAGAGGCCCGCACACAGCGATGAAGAGTGGACCCCGCTCGCCACAACTGGAGAAAGCCCTTACACAGAAACGAAGACCCAACACAGTCAAAAATAAATAAATAAATAAATAAATGTAAAGAATATGCTTGCCGATGCTGGGGACACGGGTTTGAGCCTTGGTCCAGGAAGATCTCACATGCCCCAGGGCAATTAAGCCCATGCGCCACAACTACTGAGCCCGTGTGCCACAACTACTGAAGCCTGTGTGCCACAACTACTGAAGCCTGTGTGCCACAACTACTGAAGCCCGTGTGCCTAGAGCCCATGCTCTGCAACAAAAGAAGCCACCGCAATGAGAAGCCCGTGCACTGCAACGAAGAGTAGCCCCCACTCGCCGCAACTAGAGAAAGCCCGCGTGAAGCAATGAAGACCCAACTCGGCCAAAAATTTAAAAAAATTTAAAAAAAAAAGAACAAATGAGAGCACTTTGCCCTTTAATCACTTAACCCAGTGACTGCAATATTAAGTACTCAACAAGGAGTGTTGGCAAAGTGCTGTTCAAATCTGCATAACTGACTGACTGGGGCTAAAATTTGTATAAATTTAAATTAGAAAAAAAAATCCTGTTCAATAGTATCTGGAGCTCTTTATTGTTTATTTTCTTCTAATCCCACCTCATACAAGTAAAGATTCCCACATTGCTATACTTGGGTTTTTAAAAATCAGTTTCCAATATCTGTAAAATCAAGAGTTTTGACATGAAAATGAAGACTTCAGGCTTATCAGCGGAGCTCAGTCAGTTACCGCACTGTGACGTGCGGCTTGGACAGCAGTGGCCACCTCTTTCCATGGGGCTCACCACTCCATCACCATGCTTGTTTGTGGTTTCCTGCTGCTTTATAGGCAGCTTACTTCCCTGTCCTGTATTTAGGACACCTGCCTGGCTCACACTCATGAGGTTTTCCTTCCTTAACTGAAGTATAACTTACAACAAAGTGTATAGACTTTACGTATTCCGTTCAATGAGTTTTTTTAAAAACTGTAAACACCTGTGAATTCACCATTCAGGACAAGATGCAGAACTCCAAAAAGCTCCTCATACTACTTTACAGTCCATTATCCCCATCCCCAGAGACAAATATAAATTATTTACCCGTAAGTTAGTTTTGCATGTCATATGCACTGAATCATATAGTATTTTTGTATTAAGGTTTCAATCAACATATCTGAGATTCTGTTTAAAAAAATCTTTCTTTCCCCCGTTAAACTGACATGGTACTATGGTGGATTGATTTCTGGATTCTGTATTTATTCCACTGATCAGTTTACACATTTTCACACCAATACATACCACCTTGATCATTTTAACTTTATGTTAAGTCTTGAACTTAGGTAGTCTTCCCACATTGTTCTCTTTCAGTACTGTTTGGGCTATTTTGAATTCTTTGCATTTCCATATAAATTTTAGAATTGAATTGTCAATTCTAAAAAAACTCCAAACCCTCCTGGGACTTTGATTTGGGGCTCAAGTGTTTCAATTTATGGACAAGCTACACCTTTCCATTTATTTATGTCTTCATAAATTTTCTCCAATAGGTTTTGAAGTTTACAGTGTATGGGTCTTTCATTAGATTTATTTCTTGGCATTCGATGACTTTTTTCTTATATTATAAGTTGTATTTTTTACTCCATTTTCCAATTAGTCACCGGTAGCATATAGAAATGCGTTAAACTTTTGTACGCTGACCTTGTTTGTCATCAAGTAATTTTGTAAAATTCAATTAGTAGTTCCAGTAGGGTTTTTTTTTGTGGGGGGGTAGCAATACTTTCTAAGAAACAATTTTGGCTTGTTAACAATGCTGTATTACGGTTTTTGGCAGTTTTATTATGCTCATATGCCTCACTGTTCACCTCTCTATTTTTAAGCTCTTCTGTAAAAAAACAAAAAAAATCTTTGGAAATCATGAATAATTTTTACTACTAAAAATATCCTGTTGATTTTGTGCTCTAAGCATATCAAATTACACCTTGTTTTATCTCCTCCACCATGACCAACACCAGCATCCCTATACTTCAAGCAACCGTCATCTCCCAACTGGAGGTCTGAATTAGCCTCACCACTAGCTTCCTACATTCACTCTTGATCTCTTTTAAATTTAGTTTCTACAGTATAGCTATAATGACAAAGTACAATGATTTTACATACATTACAATTATGGATTACTATGTATCAATTCATATATCCTTATACACATACATACATATACAACATTAAGTGACTCCTTGCTTAAAACTCTTCGACTGGTTCCCCTTGGCTCACAAAATAAGCCCAAACACCTCAAAGCCCTCTGATGAAGCAGCACCTGCCTAATCTCCATCACCACTTCTGACCACTCCCTCTGCCCCTTCTCCAGGCCCACCGTGCTGAAAGCAACACGCTCTTTCCTGCCTCAAACCCTTTGCACATGTTTCCACGACTGCAACACACTTTCCCTCCATCCTCACCTAGATATCAGCTTTAACACTACTTTCTCAGGGGACATTTTTTTTGACACCTGCACCTTTACCACTACCCTCAAGGCTAAATCAGCTTCCTGCACTTCTCCTTTAGAGCACTTATGACAGTTTTACTATATATTTAGTTGAGAGAGGATTTATGTAAGGCTTTCTCCTTTCCCAGACTCCAAAATCTTTGACCACAGGAATATTCTCTATTCTGTTCTCCGCTGTATTCCCAGTGTTTCCACGCAGCAATACAAAGGTGCTCAGTCAATACTTGCTGGATGGAAAGTGGATCCACTGATGTTCCTATGTGTTTGGGGCCATATGAAGCCATAGTAGTAGTTAACATAGATTTACTAAAGATACAACCCTGTTCCTTAATAGATCTCATGTTAAAAACAATATATACACAATGTTTAAAAAATAGCTATACAGGAAAACACTCTGGTATTTCCTCAAAAAGTTAAGCACAGAGCTATCATGATACAGAAATTCCACACCTAAGTATATATCCAAGGGAACTGAAAACATAATGTTCACACAAAAACCTGTACACAAATGTTCACTGTATCATTGTTCATAATAGGCAGAAAGTGGAAACAACGCAAATGTCCACCCACCAATGAATGGTTAAACAATAGGGGTAAAGCCATACAATGAAATATTACTCAGTCATAAAAAAGGAATGAAATGCTGATACATGTGACAACATGGATGACTCCTGAAGATAAGCCAGTCACAAAA